GGTTTTCTTCTAGGAGTTTTATGGTATCAGATCTTACATTCAAGTCTTTAGTCCATTTTGAGTTAATTTTTGTGTGTGGTGTAAGATAGAGGTTCAGTTTCATTCTTTTGCAAGTGACTGTCCAGTTATCCCAAACAATTTATTGAAAAGACTGTCCTTTCCCATTGCATATTCTTGGCTCCTTTGCTGTAAATTAATTGACCATATATACATGGGTTTATTTCTGGGCTTTCTATTCTGTTCCATTGATCTATGTGTTGGTTTTTATGCCAATACCACACTGTTTAATTACGATAGCTTTGTAACACAGTTTGAAATCAGGGATCATGATGCCTCCAGCTTTGTTCTTCTTCCTCAAGATTGCTTTGGCTATTTGGAGTCTTTTATGGCTCCAAAAGCAAATGAGTTCTTGAAAGACTGACCTAAACCCCTGAGCTTCATGTAACAAGTTAATCCCTTTGGGTGAGAGTAAACTAAGGACATTCACTTTAGCAAACTTTCATTTTGAATCATATGGAGGTGTATTTTAACATCTTCTAAATTCTTGGCTGTGGCATGTCATTAAATTGATTTTAAGGAAAGCAACACAATTCCTTGCTTAAGATCTCTTCTGATAGATGTGTTTATTATTTTTTTCCAGTGTTGAGATTAAAAGATATAGTATAAAGCTCAAGAGTAGATATCCTTAATAGCATGGAAACAATCAAACCAATGGTAATTACTACATTTTACTGAAAAGCATTCTTTAAGTGGGGGAGAAGATAAGATCAAATCTTATCTTTTAGAGTCTGTTAAAATTGTTTAACTTTATACTGTGTTTACTTGACTCTTTAGCAACAATTGCAGTAGGATCCCTTTTCATTAGAACTCTCCTGGGAAATTCTTTAAATTATCTTCTCAGATGTGGCTTATCTCCCCATCTGTCACCATTGCAGAAAATTGAGCATTGAATTTAAACACTCTTTTGTGCATAATCTTTTGAGGTCAACCAGGATGCTCAGAAAGATAAGAGCAAACAATGTTAGTAAATACTAATTGAGCATCCATCCTTGCCTGGTACTGTCCTAGCTTCTTAGGGGTCCCTGCTCTTTCAGTACTTACAACCTAAAGGGGCAGACAGACAAATATTACAAAATTATATACCATTTTGACAACTGCTATAACGGGATCTGGTTCCACGTGCTGTTGGAACACATGAGGAGAGTGTCAATCTCACTTCTTGGGTTGGAGTGAGGATGGGAACATGGGGGTGAGGGAGAGATGAGAGTGTAAGTGTATTTGTGTGTGCATGGGGCATTGGAGGTACATTGGAGAGGAGTAGCGGCCTGCTTGGCAGAGAGAGGGTAGGAGGGTGTTGCAAGAGGTGATTTATAAGTGGAGACCCAAAGGATAGAGTAGGAATTATCCAGGAGGGCCTGAGAAGGGTGTTCCTAAAAGAAGTAACATCAGGTGCAAAGGCCCAAGGGCAAATGAGAATGTGTATTTAATTCAATATGCTGGATAAGTGCCTCTGAAACTTGAATGGGCATATGCATCACCTTAGTTTAATGTGAAAATGCAGATGCTGATTCAGTAGTTCTAGAGAGGGATCTGAGTTCCTTGCTTTTTAACAAGCTCCCAGGTGGTATCCATGCTGTTGATTCACAGACCAAACTTTGAGTAGCAGCATATACACAACTTGATTTCCAGGCCCTGGACATTTCTCTCTCTGGGGAAATAACTGAATATTCCTTAAGCCATTTTCACTACTGATGGTAACCTACTTATTCATTCCACATGAATCATTAATGATTGCAGTGTGGAGGCAACTCTGTACCTCCTTCATATATGACACTTTTCTATAAGGGAGCCTGCTTCTCTTCCCATAATATTTTTAAAGTCAGTACTTCAAATTCGGCTTTTATACCTTCTTTCTTACCTTGATCTACCTCCTCATTGAAACACATTTAGCAGTTTCAGCATGAAACCAGTCTGAAAGGATGTGCTTAATAAATATTGTCAACACTTGTCAAAACCAAAGAAAATATCCTAGGGAAGAACTTGCAGATTTCTCCATTAGAAGCAAGTTTTAAGGCTGTACTGTACCTTGGCAGCAGTTCTCTTAATGTCAGTTTGAACTCATTTTAATAAATGCATGAGTTTTGTCTTGCTGCCATCTCTGCCTCGTCCTGCAGCAGCCAATGTTCTGCTTGTCCAGAACCAAGGACAGCATCTTTGCAAATACTCTAAAAACTCCATCTCCATCCCAAAGGCATGGGAACAGATTGGGCTGTGTTGTCAAGTCACCTACTGGAAATTCACACCTATGTCACGGGGTTCAGAAGTTAAGCCTCTCTACACATAGGTTTGGTTATTAGGCTTTGTTAAATGGATTTGTAATGTTTTTCTGGAGACTAGAAGATGCATTTGGTTTGAATATTGGTGCCCTGGGGTTGCATCACACTTGCTGTCAAGTAATGCACTGATTTTAGTCCCACTGTGTGACTCTACTGCCTCGTTTAATTCTTACAACAATAAACAAATATATATACATATATATTTAATTTTTTTTTAATTAAAGCTATACAGGCTTAGCATTAGAACAAATGGAGTGAGCCCTGCAGGCAAGCAACACTTTCAAATTCCTTTTCTCATCTTCCTTTCCAACTAGGATCTCACAATCATCTTAAAGACAGAAGGGCTTTCATATCAAGATATATGTGGGTAGACTTATTGTTTCTTTCTTCCACTAGACCAGTTCAGCAGTTCTTAAATTATTTTGTGCACAGAAATTACTACAGCACCTTGTCTACTTGCAGTCATATACAAAGTGCTTTATGGGAAAACAAGGAATTCCATGGGTGATCTTTTACTTTTTTCTATGATCCCATTACTCCCTGATGTTGGACTTAACTCTCCCCAAGTTAGATGTGATTCTCCTCTAGAGGGATCAGAGATTATTGAAGCTCTGTTTCTACTATTTTATATTGGTTGGGTCTGTCTCAATCTTACTTCTCAGCCTAGCTACTTCCCACTCTCAGGATCGCTAACCCTGTAAAGAGACATGGGAGATGTCCTAACACTGGACATAAGTCCTGGGATGGCCTAGATGGAAGTGATCCACTAGCTCACCAGAGCCGCCTAAGGCGCACAGTAGCAACAGTACGCATGGCTGTGTGGACACTTCAGCCTGTCTTCCTGAACATCTGCACACAGAGCCTTTACTGGTTGCTAGAAGGAAAATATATGATTTCTTTGACTCATGGGCCAATTTACTACAGACCAAAGTTAGCTTGGTCTATGGTATTATCTTCCACATGTAAATGAGTTGGAACATAACAATGATACCTGTTTGACATTTAGGTACAAGTCAAACTGTCCTATGGCCAAGAAAGCATTCAGGGGACATCAGCAGTTGGGTTTGAGTTAGAGTCACATGTAAATGGCAGCATAAAAAGTTATGGGCCCATATTGTGGGAAACATGTAAGAATAGGGCTGAAAACTCAGAATCTCCATGATACTTTGTAAGTGACTTCTAGAGCTAGGAAAGATTACAGACTTTACTCCAAACATTCTTTTGTAAGTGAAGAGATAGACCCAGAGAACCTGGGCAGTAAGTAGGTAGGGACTTATAGCCATGATCTGGAACCAAATACCTTCCCCCCTCCCCCCTCCCTCCCTTCCTTTTTCCTTTCCTGCCTTCCTTCCATTACCTTTTCCTGGTTAAGCAACAATGACATGAGTGTTATCCTTTCATTTAAATTTGGCTCATTCTAGTCCTCAAGGTGGCAATTACTCAGAAAATAATATATGAAAATTTTAAACAAAACAGATTTTACTTGAATTATTCTCTGTAATTTTTACCCAAATCTGTAATCTGTTACATAGCACCATCAGCAGTCATTTAAAAAATATATCATTTATAGTAATTAATAGTGGAAATGCTAACAGACTACATTCACACACTTTTGACTTATGGCTAATTGCAATGTAGTGAAAATTGACTAATTTAGAACTTAAGATATGGGGGTTATATATTAATTAGAAATACATTGTTTATTTAACCAATCTTTTATTTAGTGCTTCATTTAAGAGAAAAATTGTATATGGTGGGTTGATAATTACCTAAAGAATCATTAGATTGTACTCTAAAAAATGTATTTTAATGAATTATACATGTTCTATGGGGGTCAACAACAAGAAAAATAAAATGTGTAGCCTTAAGATATCAGTATGTTTTTTACATTCCGAATTTTCATATTTTCAGAAGAGAAATATTTAGAAATCCTTAAGATTTAGACGGCTTGTATTTAAGTTAGGCTCAATTTAAAAGCTCCAGTCATATCATGAAAAGCAGGTTGGATAATTATTTCAATTTTTATCAAGTCTTGAGGATGTAGAAATAATTTTAAATCTTTTAAAATATTTATACAGCCCTATATATATTCAAGCCCACCAAGATTTGACAGAGCTGGGGGAAGGAATATAAGCCTAGAATTTTAGAGGCAAAGAAGTTAAGATACTGCCTCTACCCACTAAGATAAGAGATGATCCGCATTTTCTGAAGCCCATGTTCTTTTCATGGTACCATCCTGCCTCCTGATTAAAATGATGTTTTTCCCTCATTTTAAAAAATACGATGAGTATTTTTTTATGTGTTGATTTTGGCCAAGTGAAATTAAAGAGTGGCAACTGAGAAGCGTTATTGGGGTTTTAACACTGCTTGCTTAAGAACAGATGTTAACAGTGCTCAAAGTCAGGCAGATGCATTCTGTCCATCTAAGCAGCATGGAAGTCATTGGGTTGCAGTTTTATGTTCACAACAGAATAGCTCATAGCAGTTCCACCAATTAACAAAAGTGAAGCCAACAAAGAAATACCAGTGTCAGCAGGAGGATTTGCAACACTCAGTGCCATCTGAAAAGATGATTTTTGATAAACTGCATTGTGCTTCTTCCTTCCTGAATATGGAGATGACTCACTGGAATGTGTTCTCTTTTGTGTTTTGGGGCGCAAACAGCAACTCGGAGTCACCACTGATGTATGAGGTTTCGGCACCGCAGCAGGGCAGCGCCAGCGGCAGCTCGGGAAGCAACCTGGGTGGCTCCATCACGGCATGTAAGAAGGTAACTTTACCCAGCACCGCTCTCTTCTCACTGATTGCCCTTGAATACTAGCTTAGTTCAACTTTTCAAGCACTTTTTCTAAAGCAGAAACAACAGCAAAAACGAACAACAAAATGGTCCACAATTTGCTTGCCCGGAAACCCCTGATGACATTAAAAAATGTACTTAATGGAAATAATCAGAAAACTCAAGCAGTTCAGAAAGGTATGACTTGAAAATTATAAACCTCCAGTGCTATTTCACCTCATCTCCAACCTCTTCTCACTACCTCTTCCCAAACTTAGCTCCTGGGATCTCCTTTCAGAAAAATCTTCATAGGTTTTGAATGTCACACCTTCTATACTAAGCTCCTAAGTCTGTAACAAAGAAAAGTTTGCGGCTGTTCTCATTTTGATATTTTCTTAAAGAGAAGGATATGTTGCCTTAATTATTAGGAGAAACAGAACTGCATTTCCTGGAGTATAGAGTTTAGAACTGATACACAAATCTTGCTTTCAGACACTTGCGGAAAGTTGTCATTTGAACAATATAAAATCATCTAATTTAACAACCACGTTTTTCCAGCCAATGCAGCTTGAGGCCCAGACACTTAAAGCAAAACATCTGATTCTCCATCTAATGCTTTTGTTATTATTTCATGCGAAATTCCAGAGGAAAATGTGTTTCTTCTCATCCAAACTTAAAGGAAATCACATTGGATTATTTCATTTCTTGTTAAGAAATTTTAAATTATAAAAAATACTTATAAATATAATTTAAGACAAATTCTGTTACTATACATATTGTATATGTATTTGTGCACATATGTATATTGATTTATTGATTACTGTACCCAGTTAAGCAGCCTTATTTATTCTCTGCTTGTGTGATTTCCATATAGTTTTCAAGTACCAAAGAAAATGACAAATATCTGTATTAAAAAAGATATATTAATCATAGAAAAGCCTCATTAAACATAACTTTACAAAAGTACTTGCATGCGTACATTAATAAATAAATATAAAAATAAACCTGTCTAATTAAGGGCTCTTATTATCAAGCATTATATAATCTATTATTCTTTCTCCTCTTATAAAATTTCTTATCGAGAAATCAGTGCTATAAATTCCAATTTTTAATACAGGAAACTGAGGCATTATAATCCGAAATGATTATGAGTTACTTATAAAAAGAGCTAAAACTGCAGGTCTCCAAGCCCGAGGTATGATCTATCCAACTCTATAATTCCAAATTATAAAGTCTTCACCAGATGCTATACATTTCACAAGGATAAATTATTTTTAATTTATTCTAATTTTTAGATAATTCTATTCCTAAAGATTACAGTCTGTGTGGTATTTAAAAGAAGGATTGAAGCCAGATTGCCTGAATTTGAGAGCCAATTCTGTCACTACTGGTTGTGTGGTCTCGAAAAAATTACTTTACCTCTTCATGTCTCAGTTTGCTCATCTGAAAAAAGAAGATGATAATACTGTCTACTTCACAGGTTGAGGCGAGGATTCACTGAGTTAGTAGATGTGAAATGTTTAGAACAGTACCTGGCATATCATAAACACTCAAAATAAAGATTACTTATTACCAATATTATTCTACAGAATAATTTTGTCAACAAGTATACAGTGCCAGGAAATAATTCAATGTTGGCATTACTATGCTGAGAGAGTTGGTACTTTATGTTCTGTTATCTTAGCTACAGTTATTTCTCTGGAAAAGAGGTGGGCATGTTCATTTCTTTAAAAATCATGTCTGGAAGCTACTGAACTAATAGAGCTGTTTAGGACTGGATGTCTACTCAAAAAAACTAAAACCAAAGCTCAATCATCTATTCTAAATGACTTCATCTATCTATTTATTTATCTATCTATCTATACATATATATCTATATCTATACACACATATATGATTTTAAAGTTTTAAATATAATCTCACTCATTCCACAATTATTTGTAGAACAACTATTAGTAGGTTGAACAGTATGAAACAGCCTTTCTTTTCTTTTTTTTTTTTTTTTTTTTTTGGGAAAGATTCACCCTGAGCTGACATCTGTTGCCAATCTTCCTCTCTCTTTTTTTTCCCTCCCCAAACCCCCATACATAGTTGTGTATTCTAGTTATGTCTTTCTAGTTCTTCTACATGAGACACCTCTGCCACAGCATGGCTTCTGACAGACAAGTGGTTCCGGCGCCCGGGAACTGAACCAGAGCCGCCGAAGCAGAGCGCGCCACACTTTGACCATTAGTCCTTCAGGGCTGGCCTGAAACTGCCTTTTTTAATGGATCAATAATTATGTAAAGTAGGCAATTATTTTTTGAGGAAGATTAGCCCTGAGCTAGCATCTGCTGCCAATCCTCTTCTTTTTTTTTTTTTCTGCTGAGGAAGATTGGCCCTGGGCTAACATGCATGCCCATCTTCCTCTACTTTATATGTGGGACACCTGCCATGGCATGGCTTGATTAGCAGTGCATAGGTCCGCGCCCGGGATCCAAACCTGCAAACCCTGGGTCGCTGAAGCGGAGAGCGCAAATTAACCATTACGCCACTGGGCCAGCCTCCACAACGTAGGCAATTTTGTATTGTCCAAACTAAATACATTCAAAATTCTGTTAGATCTTGGAGAGAGATACAAAGATAGATCATAAATGACCCCCACTCTTGAAGAATTTACAATCTAGTTTGGGAGATAATACAGGTTTCTCATGTGAAAAGTCAAACAATCATTCACAAGTTAAATAATTATATAAGATAACTATAAAGTAAAGATAGTATCAATTAGGTGAAAAAGTATTATGGGCATTAATAGCTAAGAGACCCTGGACTTGTAATAGACAACAGCCTTCAGAAAGAGAAGAGGATCTTAATTTGGACTTTGAAGTATTATCAAGATTTGAATGAGTGAAGAGAATATTCAACCAAATTTGGGAAGGGATGCTACAAATTAATGCAAGAGAGGTCAACATCTTTGTGTACTGTTAATATTTTTCTAATAATCATAGTGTATTCCTTTCATTTCAAATAGTCTCCTAAACTTACATAATAATTGCATTTAAAGACATTTTAGTAGCCATATATGCCACGTCATACACATTTTGTAATTGTTTCCCTTCCCTTCAAAAGAGTAGCTCCCCAATGTTCTCTTCTTTGTATCTAGAACATAGGCCCTCAATAAAAAGACACTGAATATTGAATGATGCATGCCTTTATTTTATTATTATATTATATGTTACTGCAAGCTGATTTAAGTGATTATTGATCAATTTTTTAATAAAACATTGTTAATCACAGACAATGGGACTGGGGAAGGGAAGATCTATATGCTCACAAATGCACCTATAATGTACGTTCTGTGCAAGAGAGGCAAAGACAGCTCTATCCTAAATATAGCAAGGCTGTCCAGCTGAATCACCACTGTTCACAGTCAATCAAACTTCAATAAGAGTAACATGAATAATTGAAATCTATTGGTAATTCCTCAAACTCATTTCATGTAATAGCTTCATCTTCTTCCCCATGAAACCTTCTTATCAGTACTGACATATTGCTAAATTAACTGGTGGAAGAAATAAAATAAGAGTCCAGAAGATAATGCATTAGTTGGATAAGCAGACTCTGAAAAATTGCAGATTGACTGAATCCCTTTCATGTGCTTCACAGTGAATCTCTAAGGCTTCCAGGACTCCTACCCAGATGCAGTTGCTGTAGTTCCTCTTTGCTGTTGGGAAAATATGGTCACTGGAGTCCACAGCTGAGAAAGAGCCTTAGCATCAGGAAAAAGACTTTGGTAGCCTTATTTGAAGGAGGAACTCCTTAACATATATTTTTGTCAGTGAGAGATTTCCTTTGCCCAGAGGTGACCACACCACCCAGTCATAATTCACATATATTGTCCCGGCGTTTTATTGATAGACCCCCTTTTGCTGTCTAAAGTGCTCTGGTATGCACAATAAGTTAAATGGTTAGCCTAGCTCTAGCTTCAGAATTATCCTTTTTCTCCCTGCTCTCCTTTTCCTACGTATCAGGGAAATTATCGGATAAATTCACACTGAGGTGTTAGTGGTTGCACAGCTTAATGTAGTTGTGACAAATAAAATCTGTTTTTACTTAACTACTTCTACTTCAGAACTAGTACTATTGCCCACCCCCCCCCAACTTAACTGACATTGATCGTCGAGTCTATTGAACCTGGACATGACTTCAGAATTCTACTCATCATGAAGTTTCAAGCAGACATTATTATTCTAACCAAGTTGGAATATAAGCTAACTCTGTCACACTAATCTAATGAGCATCAAACCCAGGGGATGTTTTAATGTATACAATGTGATTCTCCAAAATAATGCATTTAAAATGATGGAATTTCAAAATATTGCAGGAAAAAAATGAGAGAGAAAGAGTTGCTGGTGGAGAGTGGACCCTAGCTTCATATCTCTTGAATCGTATCTCACATGGACATTGGCTGATGGACCAGTCCTTCTTACAAGACAAATACAACCACATTGTTTAATACATTATTAACATTAATACATTGTTAAACTGAATTGTAGGGATTTTCCATTAAATGAGCTAAATGATTATAAATATTATCCTTTTATATCTGTTAAACACTAAGTGAAAGGTATTTATATTCTCTTTATAATAAATCATAATCTATCATCTCTAGGCAGGCAGTGGAATGTCGTGTAACAAACCCTGGACTTGGAATCCAAAGACCTGAGTTAGATCCCAGGTTACTCTTCTTACTGTGTGATCTTAAGCCAGTGATGTAACTCCTCTGACTCATGTCTTAGGGTTGGTGCATTGATTGCATACAAAAAGGTTTGTGTAAGCCCTTGGCACACATAACTGATGCTCAATAAATATTAGTTGATTCCAAATAAGTGATCTTTACACAGGGCAAGATTTATTTAAGTAGAATTTAAAAACTAATCTGAACAGAGCATACAATGTCCCCTCATTACGTTGAATAGCTGTTAGATTTCCCTCTGCTTTGAAAGCATTATAAT